TTTTATGTAACTTTTTTAAGGATGTACCACGTAAATTCATATCAAAAGACATTTAAAAAAATTATTTAGAAAGTAAAAAATTTATGTAGTCTAGAGGGAACTGGGTAATTATGATCCTGCAAAAGTTAGCCAATCCAGCGGGACCAGACGTCCCTGGTATGTCTATACGGCGTCTAGATATTACACATCCAGCTCACTTTCTGTGTTCACTGGGAAAAGAATGGTGTTTTCAGTTTTTTTTTTGAATTTATTGTTCTTTCAAACTAGATACTTAGTGGATACTAAACTAAAAATCAGCTTCCTTAGCAACAGGTAATTTCCTCTAAAAATATTTTATTACATTTTTTCTCATATAATTGAAAAATGGATTTATGGTATAAATGGATTGGTAAAATCAATTTTTCTAATCTACCGGTTGATGAGCTGTAATCTCGATGTCTGCGTGGTCAAACGCAATCAAGATAAATTAAGTATTCGCCCGCAGAGTTTTGTTAATCCTTGGCCTATGCTTCGGCTATGCCTTAATGCCGAAAATAAAGGCCATGGCAACTGTTTGCCTTAGTTTTGAAAATTTTTGGCCTTGGCTTTGATTGTTTTGGCCTTGGCATTCAAAAAAACAACAACATAAAAGTAAAAAATTAAAAAAATTTCATTTTTTGATTTTATGTGTTTTTGTTTTCGGCTTTCATATATATCTACAAGTATATTTTCTTATTGACTTCGTTGAATTCTGCAAATTACCTTGATCTTAGGAAGCTTTAGATGAATCTGTTGATTATAAAACAACTGGTGTGCAGCCAAGTACCACTTCTGAGTTTCAAAAAATTGATTACTGCTCTGGCAAACCAAAACCAAACCAAACACTCTTCTGTCAAAAAAACAATCATGATATGAATTGGTAAACAGTACCACTTCGTGCGTCAGAAACTTATCAGTCTGTTACAGCAACAGCGTTTTTCTGCAACTACAAGTGACTATTGGTCAGCTAATCAGCGATCATACACTGGTGTTACAGTACACTGGATTAAAGAGTCAACTTTAAAAAGTACTGCATATTTCAGCAGTAAGATTATGTTGACGCTAGAAAGAAAATTGTACCAACAGCGTATAAGCAGCTGTCTTTAAACAGACCCACTCAGAATTTGGCGTTCAAAATAAAACTAAAACAACTACAACTGATTATGGGTTAAACTTTTGAAAACCATTTAACTTGTATTCATATGAGTAAGTTAATAACCCCAATGCAGCACATGCATTTGAACCTGAAACTGTTGATGAAGAGCAAATAGAGATTGTGTGCATTGATGACATTTACCTCCTTTCATTACGGGCAAACTTTAGGAGGGTACCGAAAAAGTTGAGGTCATTTTAAAATCATTAATTTTTTCTTAATGGTTATTTTATCATTCAGGACCATTTTTTTTTATAAAAGATATTTCAAGTCAAAGATATGTTGTAATTATCATTTCATTGTAAAAAAACAGCCTAACTTTTTTACGTTGATTAGTTTTTAAATAAGTTTATAAATTTTCTCTTTCGAACTTATTGTAGTTGGCAGCAGGTATGCCATATAGGCTTTTTTATTAGGTTTTTGTGTTAAGAATCAATCACTTTTAAAGAAGTTTTTAAATTTCTTTTGCGCGTAAAGTTTAAAAATATGAAGTGATTTAAAGTATGAATTACAACACGATGTTTGGCACTGCTAGATGTCAATTGAATAAAAATTGCCAGGGGACCAGCTGGAGCTAAAGACGGCTCTAGCGATGTCCAAGACGTGCACTACTCGATGAATTTAATGGCTACTTATGAATTTGTGACTGCTGAACATAATGCAGCCATTAAAAAGATTAGTCAATCAACGTATGCAAAATGTTAAGCGTTAAGGAACAAGCTGTAACGAAGTAATTAATCTGCAAAAGTGATAAATGGAATATTTGGAGTTTATTTTGTTGATTCTCATCAGAAAAGGTGGAGTTCAATCTACATGTCTGAGGAGCACAAGGACAAGTTGACAAATGATAAAGGAATTAATGTGAATTGCGTTTGCGACAAGTGTAATTTGCCACAGTTTCGACGAGTTGATATGCCATTTATTGCAGATTATGTCTTCGTTTTGAAGCCTCTTGCTCAATTGTTAGATATCGTGCAGTGTGAAATAAAGGTCTGCATGGCATACCTGCTGCCAACTACAATAAGTTTGAAAGAAAAAAATACTTTGCAACGTTGAGAAAACACTTGCTATTGGTTGCTTTTACAAAATTTTAAAACTGTTTACTCATAATTTAGTTTGTTTACTTAATTGTTTAGTTTGTTTTTTTTTTTTTAAAAAAAGTTAAAAGTTAATGGTCATTAATTAAGGTTAATGAAATTAACCGATTAAAAAGATTTTCTCTCAAATCATTAAATTTACTTCGAATATTGCTTTTGACAGTTACCTACGATTTAATTTTTTAAGTTTTTTTCGAATTTTGCCCAACCACTCTTTTAGTTGGGAAAATACATACAGTGTATTGTCTTACTACATGTAGACTAGATTGACTGCCCAACTACATTGTAGTTGGACAATACGCTATCAAAGACATTTATAAACAAATAATCAGACTTATATTAACAATGAAAAATTAAATGATGCTTCAAATTATTAATTGAAAAAGCTCTTGTAATGAGTGGAGGTTGGATTTAAAATCTAAGTAGGTTTGATTTAATAATAACCCGGGGAGAAATGAGCTAGCGACTAGCGAGCGATTAGCTAGCTTTATAGCGATTTTTTAGCGATTTTTTTTATTATTGTTTTTTTTCCTAATGTCTTTAACATCTTTAAAAATTCGATTTTTAGTGTTGAGTCTATTATAATTATGAGAATAATTAAACTTTAAACTTTGCGATTTTGTAGCAATGTGTCGCTAGCTACATATCGAAGCTTTGTAGCCAAGGCCGGCGCGATAGGGGTGTGTGTGACCCCCCCCCCATCAATGATTTTTAGTCGGCAAACTAGACCCTTAGTCGGCAAATTGGACCTAGTTAGTCGGCAAATGTGGACAACCTTTCGATATAGGTTAGACAGTCGGCAAATGTCGTCATGACAGTCGGCAAATTTTGGAAAACGAGGCCTTTTTTTTTTTTTTTTTTTTTTTTTTTTTTTAGTCGGCAAAAGTTGTAATGGCACCTCCCCCACGTGACACCTACTCGTTTGTAGCTAGCTACAAAATATCTACAAATCTATAGCAAGTTGATAGCTGCATATTAAAATTTTTTAGACAGCGGTTTTATTACGGTATGACGCTAGCTACAAAAGCCTCTTTAGCTTATTAAGCTAGCTGTCTTCGTAGCCAAATTGCTGTCTTTGTCTTTACAAATATCGATAGTTTTTTGCTAACTTAAAAAAGCTGTCGATCCTAGTGGCCAAATCGCTGTCATTCTCGTTACGATTACAGCTAGCTATTCGCTAGCCGATTTCCCACCGGGAAGTAGTTTTTCAAACACTTCTTATAAAATAAATCAATTCAAAATTTGAATTTATAAAATTTTTTTCCCGTTTAGTTTTAAATCAATAATCAGGTTTTTTGATTCTGGTTTTGAAAAAAAAGTAGTTCAGTCTTACTTTTATATCAAGGAGTTTAAAACTACTCTTATAATGTATTAGATTTTCTAATTAAAATTTTAATATTCACCCTATCAAAGATGTTTAAGGTCTATAAAGAAATAGGGCTGATAAAGTTTAAATAAAGCTTTTAAAGAAAAACATTGCTAAGCAATCCTTTATCCATTTTTAATTATTTCAGTCAAACTTAATGAGGAAAATGATGTGGAATAATTTGTTTGAAAATCAAACTTTAGGTCAGAAAGAATATTTGAATTATTAATTTGAATTGTAAACTTAACCAAGTTATTGCAGAATTTTGTTATGGAAAATTTAAGATTTTATATATATATATATATATATATATATATATATATATATATATATATATATATATATATATATATATATATATATATAAAATATATATATATATATATATATATATATATATATATATATATATATATATATATATATATATATATATATATATATATATATATATATATATATATATATATATATGTATATATATATATATATATATATATATATATATATATATATATGCTTAGTAAAAATAAGTTTAGAAAAGGATTCAACAAATAAAATTGAATATTAGATAAAGAAAATCTTTAGCAACATAACTGTTAAAAGCATTACAAATTTTGTAAAGAAAATTATGGCTAGTGTAACTTGAGAAGTAGACAAAGTTAAATTATTAGAAATACTTTTAAGAAGTAGACTTCAAGTTGAATTATTAGAGATATTTTTTCAGCTTTTTAAATATGTTTTGTAAAATAATTGTTGTAATATTTTTTTAACTTTTCTTAATTATTGATTGAAGTGTATTTTAAGACTTTTTGTACTTATTATAAAAAATAGTTTTATTTCAAGATTTTTTTAATGGAATCTTTCAAAAGTTCATTTTTGTATGTAATAGAGAATTTCAGGTAATCCATGCTTTTGTCTTTAATTAAATTTCCATCTTAGTATTATATTAGATATTACTAATAGTGCTAAGAAGCAAGTTATTACAATAGTTTTTTTAGTTTGTAAATATGAAAGTCTTTTTTAAGCTTAACAGAAAAAATTATTGTTAATATTTATAAAAAAGCACAACCAGCTTTCAGATCAGTGTGTTTTTTTTTTTTTCAACATACCAATATGTAGTCTGTTTATTTCCTTAGAAAATCTGTAAAAGTTTTTATCTTTTAAGTTTGATTTAATTATATAGTTATAACAATATATATTTATTTAATTTATAAATATATTTAGTCATTTAAATATTTTTAATTTTTTTCATAGGCATTCTGTATAGTTTTTTTGTAAAACTATGTTCAACATAATACCTCTTAAAGATGTTTTGCTTAATCTTAATGGTACAGAAGAACTGTGTCAGTTATTTGAATGTATGAATCCTCTTAAAAGAGATACTTTGTCACAAAAAGGTGAGTGCATAGGTGGTTCTATATTTAAGTGGTATGTAGCTACACTGTGGTATTTAGTTGCACTTTGTATTAAATATGATAGAGTTATATTTTAAACTATATATTAAAAAAGAGTTGAATGTTATTACTTTTTTATATTTGTACAAAATATTAATTTATACTGTACTATTACTATTGTACTGTACTGTACTATAGTAAGAGTGTTAATAAAAAGTAAAATTTGTTTATAAAATTTTATTTATTGTTTTTATTATATTTAGTTCAATATTTTACTTGTTCATTTTCCAAAGCTAGAATAGAGGCTATTATATCTAAGAAACTTGTATGATTTAATGTATAGGCTAATTTAGTTGTGTAAGTGCTATTTATATGTTTTAAAGGCAGATCCAGTGAATTCAGTTTATGTTGGTTTGATATAGAATCTCTATAGAGATAGACAACTTTGGCATATCTTTAATTTCAAAGTTCCTTTAGGTAGAAACTGAAAGCAGGCTATATGATAAAATTTTAGGCTCCATAAAATATAGATATTTGATTTTTTTAAGTTTTTTAATTCCCTTAAGCATAGGGTTGCCAGACAACCGGTTTTTACAAAGTAGAGTACAGCGCCACTTACTTAAGACAAGTTAGGCAACACTTTTAATCATCATGGTGTATCCATTTTGTATTAATATTGATTATAAACACTTAAAAAAAAGCAAAAAATGTTATAGGTATTTAAGAAGTTTTTCTAAAATACAAAAACTATTAACGTCATTTTATTATTCGACACTTATTATTATAACAAACAGGTGATAATATTTGTGTTACCAAACAAACGTATAATTTATTTTTAGTTTGCCAAACTCAGTTTTTCAGTGCGCTGCTAATTAAACTGTTCATATTATTAGCTTACACAGTTTAATTACCATTAGATTTTTTATATTTAACAAGTTTAGTAACATTAATCAAATTCCTAAATATTAATATAGGTATATGTGCAATAGTGATGTACCGATTAATTGACATCTGTATCAGTAATAGCTGAGTTGGACACTTTGTGCACAATCATTATTGACCTTTTTTTTTATTGATTTACTTATTTTCTAACCAATTTCTTTTTTTTTTAAATTAAATCCTGCCAAATATCTCTATATATAATATCGATATACTTTTTATTTTAGAGACAAAATTTAAAATTAAATATATTTAATAATAAGTTCACTACCATAAAGGCTGCAATCAATATTAAGTAAGTTGGTAGTTAACAAAAAAACAAAGAAGAAAGTTAAATAACAAGTAAAGGCTTGAGATAAGAATTTAAAAACTCTATGTCAACTGCATGAGCAAGAAAACATGAAGATAGGACTTCTAAAATATTGTGTTTGAGATAAAAAAAAACGAAGTTTATAAAAGTTTTTTGAGCATGGCGGAACAGTTACAGCAAAATGATGCAACTTTGCTAAACGATGAGTCACATGAAATTAAGGTTGAACTAGAATTTTATGTTAGAATAAATTTTTGGAATTAGACAAGAGATGTGTGAGAGATGTATATCATTTGATTAGTGACCATGGTAGTAGTTGTAGATATTAGAAAAAAATGCAACCATATGATAGTGGGACAGAAGCACAATCTTGGGAGTTAGAGCATGTCATACTACATTCACGATGTGCTTTTAGATTGTTTCTAAAGGAGAATAAGTATTATTAGAAGAACCAGCCCAAATATGACAATAGTATTCCATACAATGATGAATTAGAGATTTATTAATTCTATTATTATTATTTTTCTAATTTAGAAATTTTTTTGGCCATTTTTAAAACTAATGTTTTTGTCTAAGTTATTAGGGGTCATAAACTATGTCACACTAAATTTATCTTTTGAATAGAAATTGGATCACTTGCTCTCTTGTATGGAGATTTTTATTTAACATAAAGCATTTTTGAATTTAAATTACTTTAAATCTCTGTATGGAAACCAATTATATTTTAAAGTTATATCTGGTTTCATTTACTGAATGGATAAATTTAAAAACAGAAAATATACCTATAAACTAAACCAAAACAACCAGTTAGTTTACTACAGTTACTTAACTATTAAATTTACTTGATATACTCAAAGACTCACAAAAGTTAGCCATACAAATGCTTCTATGAATATGTTGTCAACACATAATATAAACTTCTAATTAAAGATTATTCTAACAAGAAATCTCAAACAGAATATAAATAATGGTAATGCGTTTTTGCAATACCATTTTTTATATTTTTATTTTATTTAAAGCGATATCAAGAAAGTGATAAACAATTTCTATAAATACGCAATTTTGTTTTTAGGATTTTTTCTTTAAAAAAATCTATTTGAAAAAAAAATTTTAGTCTTCTAAAATTCTCTAATTCAAATAATTTTGTGATTGAAATTTGAAATAAATAAAAAATTGGAAAAAGTTAACAGAATTTAATTGCAGCGGAGTTTGTAATACCCAGTGGCATTGTGAGGATCATTCCTAAAAGTTAAACATCTATCTAGCTTCAGTAACAATATTTGATTTAGAACATAATGCAAGCAAATAAGAAATATTTACATAAATTTTAAACATTTTGAATAGCTAATAATTTTTTGTTTCTTGAAAATAGTTTTAAAAGTAGAAACATTCTATTGCAAACATTAATCTATAGATAATTGCAAAGATTAAACCAAAAATTAAGTTATGAAAAATTTAAATTAAAAAAAATAAATTATTTTACGTCTGTTCAAAGAAATTTTTTTCTAAAAAAATAATTTAATACTTACACTTAAGGGGATCCAAAACCTCTGAGACATGTTGTGTTCATATTAATTAGAATGATAAAAAAAAGTATGGGCGAAATTTTTATGATTAAAATAAAAGAATAAATGCATACCAATAAAAATTAACTTTTTTATTTTAGTTGAAGCTCGCCTTATCCAATTTGTTGAGGGATAAAAATTCAGCATAATATATGCTGCAATCTACTGACTTAATAATTTATTAAGGCACGTCTTATTCCTAAGAGTTTTAGTACATGATGTCGTTGACTTATTTGTTTGTTTACATAATCAATCTCTTACTTTTGTTTTAATCAAAAAAATTTAGTCCAAACATTTTTTTTTATCGTTCTCTTTAATATGAACGCAACATGTCTTGAAGGTTTCCGATCCCTTTAAGGAAATATAATTCGATTTATTAGACCAAATTTTTTTCTTTCACTTATTATTGTAAAACAATTTGAATGAAAAAATTAAATGAAAACATCAACTTGAAAACATTTAAATGAAAAAAATTAATTATACTTAAATTTTTAATAGAACACTAGATTAAAAAAATAAATTATAAAAAATCTGGTGTCTAATGATTTTTTGCTTTTCTTACTTGTTTGATCTATGGGTTATAGAATTATATGGGCTATAGGCATGTATTTTTTTGCGCAAATACGGAATTTTTTTTTCATGATTAGATTTTTTTGCGTTAATTTCAACCCTGTCTGTATTTTAAGCAGTAGTGGCGCAGTAGTTAGAGTTCTGGCTCAGCACCCAGAGGTCCAAAGTTTGATGCGGGCTCAAGCCCAATAAGCAATATTGGTGAGGAAGGAGGCGTAAATTTCCTTATTAAATGCTCTTCTGCGGTGCTCTGTGATAAGAATGTAAGGACTTCTGGGAGGACCCTAATAACTACAAAAAAAAAAGTCAGAGTTACAAGGCAGCGAGACATCTGCCAGGTTACATGTTAACAGTAGCTGGGTGATTATGATGATTTTGATCTTGACCTGCCTTGAAATATTTATATTTTTTATTTAGCCTATTAATTGGTATCATCCTTTTTTGTCCATCGGTATTGGGATTGGCCAAAAATGTGTAATTGGTACATCATTAATGTGCAAGTAAAATATAAAAGTATATGCAATGTATGCAGGGCAAGTGAAATAGAAATATAGAAGCATTTGTTGATCCTAATCTATGGTTGCTATTTGCAACTTATTTCAAAAGTTTGTTGTTTTTCAAAGTTCGGATTTTAGAATTTTTTACATTTTGTATTAAAATGTTTTACTAAAAGAAAAAAATCATAGGCACTTTATTTATATAATAACTGTATTTGTTGAAAAACAATTTAGCTGATTAATAGAACATAATTTTTTTATACCCTTTTTTTTATCTGATTTGTTAGTGATAACTTTTACCCAGCCTACATGTTTTTTTTTAAAGATAAATAAGACTGGAATTTTGTTATTGATTTATTTTAGTTGTCAGAATTTGTTAATTTTAATAATTTAATAAAAGCACTTTCGGTGTTAGTTGACCATCGATTGTTTATTATGTTTTTGACACATATATGGTTTTAAGGAAACTTGTATAAATATTTAAAATATTTATAATAAGGTGTTTGTTGACTGTTGATCAATTCTTATGTTTTGAATATATATTAAATTATATTACATAATTATTTTTTTTTTTAGATAAATTGTATAATAATTGTTTGAATAAATTTTATAAATATCAATGTATGCAAATAATTAAATCATCTACAAATTTTTAGATGATCATTTTTAGGATCAAAAGAAAAGTCCTCCGCTGTTGTTCGAGATATTTTTGTTTTACAAAGTCATGTCTTAGTTCTTGTTGGAGATTTGCAGCTGATTGCATTTGATCAAACTCCAATTGTTGCTCCAAATAATGCCTATGGAAAGGATTTATTGTCTTGCTCAACACACAGTATAGCTTTTTATGTTACAATGTCAAAGTTTACACTGTACCAAAAAAAGTTGTTCTTTATAATAAGTTATTTCTTTTAGAGCCTTAAACTTTTGATATTCAATGCTTATTGAAATCCAGGCTTGGACAGGAATGGTGTGATCGAACGTTATTGCTGACCACGCAAGTGGTTTTTTCTGTTGACCACAACTTGACCTCAACTGTTTTGATGATTTACACATTTCAGAAATGTGCTGAAAAAGAAAAGCTAAGCTAAACTTAAACTATAAAAAAAATTAAAAATTTAAAAAATAAAGAAAATTTCTTTCTAAAAAGAAAATTTGTAAGCTTTAAAATAAAACTCAAAAAACTCCATTTCGAAGTAAAAATTAGTTTTTGTAACATTTTTAATTGCATTGGAAATTAATTACTTTAAAACTCAAAGTGCTTTTACAAATTACTTCTAATGATTCTTTAATAAATGAACAAATTTTATTTAAATAATGGAAAGAGGAAATTAAGTTATTAAAAAGAAGAAAAAAATTTTTTTTATTGTAAAAACATTTTTTTCAAACAGTTACAAAAAAAAAAATTATTTAAAAAAATAACGTCTTTTTAAATCATAATTTTTAATCATTCATGCTCTAATTAGTCAAGATGAAAAACAAAAAAACTTTTCAACAAATCTTTGTAAAAATAGAAACATCTAAATAAAAGCAATTAAATTATTCCATTGCAGTGGGAAGATTTAATTTAACTTTTCATAATTTTAAGTAACTTAAAAAAATTATCTTTAATAAGATTTTAAGAAACATATGGAAAAATTCCAAACATTTCAATCTTTTAAATTTATCATAAAAAATACATGTCTATTTAAAAAAATTAAATATAACATTTAGTTCACACAAAACGAGTTTATTTTAAACAATCATTATAATAAATTTTTTATTTTATTTAAAGCCTTTGCGTAAGATAAATACTTTTAAAAAGTTTAACAATTAAAAGTTATTCATAATGTTACGATTTTATTATTGCATTTTAAATTGTTAAAACATCAAAACAGTTGTGGTCAAGTTGTAAAGAAAAAAAATTTAAGAGTGGTTAGTTACAGTGTGCAATCGCACGCCATTCCTGTCTGAGCTTAGAATTAGTTTTTCAATTAATTTTTTCTTAACTCTTGATGTCAGCTTTCATTAATTTAGAGTTGATAATATTCAAAAAATGTATCACAAATTTAATTTAGAAATCACCAGTGTTCTGGATGTATTTGTTGATAACAATCTATTAGAGTATGTTTTTATTATTTCAAAATCTGGTGAGCTTATTGTTTGGACTTTCAGGCGTCCATCGTATAAATGGCAGATGGAAGCCACAATCTTGTTATGTAAAAAAAAAGGAAGCCAATTGTTATCTTATACATATGACAACCAAAATAAAGTTTTAGTTTGGTGTGAAAAGATCACTGCATCTCAATGTTGTATCTACTCAACAGAATTTAATTTTACTGACAATTTTTCTGTAAAAAGCACGCAGCAAATACTATATAACTGTTTGCCAATGTCTATTCATTTTCTAGCTCAGTCCAATTTTTGTTTTATTTCCTACATTCTACCTAGTTTAATGTTATTCTGGTGCAGCTCATCAGGTAAAATGACTGTAAGTGTTTTTATATCATTACATAATGGGCCTATCAAACTAAAATGTACACAATTTCAAGAATTTCAAAGCTTTATTTTTATAAGATTTTTGTTTTAAGCTCAAAATTGTTTTATCGTTTAAACAACATTAGTAATCAAAAATGTTTAGGTCCGAATGTGGGGAGATTTCTTTAATACAAAGTTCTTGCCAGTGTTTACAACTGATTATCAAAGTATTATTAAAGGTTGCATTTCCTTATGGATTGATTCACCTTCCTCTGAAATAAAATTCATTGCAGTTGCATCTCATTCTATTACAAAAGAGCTAATAGTGCTGCAGCACGATCTTCAAGTTAGTATAGTTGCAGTTAAAGAATTAGAAATTATTTCTTCACACTTATGCACTTTAGAAACAACAGAAACAGAAATATTTGCTCAACAAGTCACTGGTATATATTTAATTAACCATCTACTGCTGGTTTTAATGAGTGATGGTAAAATTAATGTTTTTGACACTAAGTATGGACTTTTTTTATGGAAAACTGAGTCATATGTTAGTACTTTACCAAAGTTATGGGTCAGGAAAGGTGAATTTCCAGCTATAGGTATTTGGAATAATGCTGGTATATGGGTATTATATGCGAAATCTGTAGTTGAACAACTTAAAGAGGCAAAAACCAAACAAGAAACTAAAAGTCCTGTTGCACAAAATGTTGGACAAACTGCTATAATTGATGGTTGCTTGTTGCGAAGAAAAGTTGATATTTATAAAGGAATTAGTCGAAATGCAAGAACACCTTTGCATTATGCATTTGAAATATTAGATAGTTGGAATCTTTCAAAACACTCAACAGAGCTAGCTTTAAAAGAAGCTTTGAAAATTAAAGAGTTGACAAAAGATGACATAAGTGCCTTTAACACAAGTGATATTTTATGTTTGGTTAATCAAATTAATGATCCTGTATTACTTCTGATTTTATTTTGTGACGGGGATTTTTGTTATCTTATCAAAAAAGAAGTTGTTTGTAGGCTTTTTAAATTGCTAAAACTGATGGAATTCGATGTCATTGATAAAGAGTATTCAATTTTGTTCAAAGAGTATTTGATGCTTGAAGAAAAAATAAAATCAAGCTTATCAACTTATGAATTTTGTGAGACACTTCTTGATGACGAATCAATTTTTCGTAAAGAATTTCAAAACTTATTAACTTTATCAAACTCTGAACTTGAGGCATCTTGTGATCTACAGAATTCGATAGAAAAGTGCTTATGTTTTTTATTTGAACTAAACCAGAAGTTATTTGTAAAACTTTTTATCAGTTTGATACCCTTGCAAAGCACTATGCAAACATTTGAGTTTTCTTATATTTTGGAAAATTGTAATGATTTATTCGATTTGTTGTTTAAGGCATTAATAAGGTAAAAATATTTTTTAGTTAATCCATCAGAGTTTATTATGAGTTTTACCTTATTTAGAAAAGATTCTTTTTTTGAATCAAAATGTTTTGAGTCAAATTTTTTATCAAGTTGTTAAATTTTTATCTTAGGGTAGAAAGCTCCATTTTTTATATGTTTTGGACAGCTGTTTGGGATGAATCCCCAATGATTCTTTCTTCTTTGTTCAATGATATATTTAGCAAGCATCCAGATATGGAAGTAAGCTCTTTTAGTTCTTTTTTTTTTTCAGGCTTTTTTGTATTTAAAGAACATCTTTGTAGATGTTAACACCTTTGTAAATGATAACATTTAAAACACAAATTATGACCGCACAGTAAAAAAAGATCATATTTAAATAGTTATGAGATATTTATCGCTCATTTATGTAGCAATAAATATCTCATGGGTATCTGCTTTTGAGGAAATTGTTGAACTTCAATAAACTCTTGAAATATGAGACATTTATGTTAAAACTGAAAATTAATTCAGGTTAAAGAACTCATTTAGTTTTTAAAAAAATCAAAAAATAGCAATATTTGGAGTTCTTAGTGTTACTATTAGTACTTAGTACTATTAATGTAAAAATTTTGAATTGATTTTTTATTAAACTAATAAATATATATAACTTACTTGTGGTTGTATTATAAACTACAAACATATATACATATGTACTGGTGGCTGTATTATAAACTACAAACATATTTACATACTTACTTGTGGCTGTATAATTAAATTCATACATATTTACACTTACTTGTGGCTTTATGATAAACTACATACATTATACATACTTGCAAAAGTTAAAATAAAAATTATGATAGTGTATATTGGATTGTACATAGTTTTCAAAATAGAAAAAATGTATCATTTTGTAATTTTTTAGTGTCATTTTATATTGAACATTGATGTATATTATAAATAAAAAAACATAAGAAGTGAACATAAGAACTAGATTTTGTGTTATTTGTCTCTTTATGTCTTTTCTTCGATTCAAATTTTGATTTTAGGATATTTCCTGTGTGTAGAACTCATTTTTGACAAATGTAAAACACGTTTGACACAAGTCAAACATGCTGATCTATTATCATTGACTTTTTTTTTATTTTTCTTTATCGTAGCTAGTTCTTCAGTAAAAAATATTTTCTTTATTAAAAAAGTTTTTTTATTTCATTTTTATTTTAGAAACCAATCATTGCAAAATTTTTATCCATAATTTGTCTACCAGATTCAAATGATGATAGTAATGTGTTGGTTGACCAAGTTCAAGTGTATTGTTTGTTACTTTTGCGGTTGTCTCCCGAAAATGATGACAAAGCATGTGATATATTTCTAAAGTACTCTTTAATTGAAGATGCTATAAGTATATTAATGAAAAACAACAACAACTCGCTTAAGCACAAATCACTGTTTTACAGGTTGTTATTTTATACCCTGAAAAATAAACAGTTTAAATCATTTGTCCAATATTTCAGCATTTGTATTCCAGAAAATTTTAATATTGGTACCTTTAATAGTATATGTATGGCATCTGGGTGTGACAGTGTAACAGAAAGTGTTTTTACTAAAAATCCAAATGACATAGATATAAGTTCTGTCACAGATTTTTTCAGCAATTTATTACAAAGAGACTCAAAATTCTCTGATTAAATAAAAAAAGAAAAAGTTTGTTTAATATAATTTTTATTAATATTATTAATGTGCAAGTTTGGTATTTTATGATATATCTTATATATATATATATATATATATATATATATATATATATATATATATATATATATATATATATATATATATATATATATATATATATATATATATATATATATATATATATGTTTGTATGTATGTATATATTTCATATTATTTGTTACATATTTTGTAATTTTCTTTAATATGTTTTTAAAGTACTCTTAAATTTTAATTTGTCACATGATATATTTTTTTAGTGCTTAAGTAAAACTTATGATTTTTTGAATGAGCATTTATTTTATATCACCAAGATGAAGTCGTTCAAGATGATATTCTTTTTTGTGTGAAAAATAACTTTTTATTTTGTGTTTAAATTTTTGTTTGTTGTTTTAAACTTTAATTCTTGTTTATCTTATCTAAAATGAAAAAAGTTGAATATATAAATATATTGTTTGTATAAATAGTTATTTATTTTTTTGTATTAAATTTTTTACTATTCAAATTTATTATTAATTTAAAAATACAAAGTTTATCAACTAAATTAACTTGTTTTTTTTTAGTCATGGAAATTTGTTTTCATTTCTTGTCTTTTTTTAATTTATTTATTTTTGTTTGCAGTTTAGTAGTAGTAACTTTAAATTAGTAAATTAAATTAGTAAAATTATTTATGGTTAACATCCATGATTCCACACTTGCGTGGCATGGATAGGTTTCTGTAATACCTTTTCTTTTTATTTAAAAATGATACGAAAGAGTTAAAGCTAGTTTGAATTTTTCTATTTATAGTTTTATAACAATTTATATTTTTTTATTTTTTGTTGTTGTTGTTTCATGTTTTCATTCTATTTGCATTTTTATTTTTTTAGTTGGTTTCAACTCAAACTCTATATAGTTAAGCCAATTTTAAAATAAATAGTCTGTATAATATTTTTTTGACTACAACATGAATCCGTTAAAAGATCAGGTTTGTGAATTATGAAAAAATGAGAAAAATTAAAATGATAAATTTTGTGGTATCATAAAATATAAATGTTTGTAGCAAAAAAAACCCAGACCAATAATTTTTTTTTTTTTTAGATTTTTTTAAAGTCACAATCACTTGTTCAAACTTGAATAAAATTTTAAATAAATACATTTTTAGGTTAAATGAACATCATAGTTTAATAATATGATCTGTTCTAGTTGTTTATTGTCAATTCTCCTTAATTATAAGGTCTTTCTTGGTTGAAATTCTAGTAATTTTTGTGAAAATTAATAGAAATATTTCATTTTGACAACAATATATAGTTGTTATACGTCAGAACTGATTAGAACTAGGATTTCTAGTGGATTAAGACACTTTTTAAAAAGATTTCAATTAAGTTCATGTTGATGCCGTTGAGCAAAATCGATCTAAAGACTTCAAAATGGTGTTCATTAGATTCACTATTACGGGTAGAAAAAAGGTTTTAAAAATTATATAAAAAGTTTTATAAATAATAAAAAAACCTAATGCAAAAAGGATTATAACTTCTAAAACTTTGAAAGTATAGTATTTATACTTTAAGAATATAGTTATTACTTTGAGAGTTAAATATACTTTGAGAGTTTTAATATTTATATTTATATTATAGATTTTAGAGATATTTTGATTTTAGAGATATTTAAAATAATTTTAAAAAATGAAAAAAAAAATTTTTTTAATGACTAGGAAACCTACAAAAATGACTAATGACTTGCAAACCTGCAAAATAAATTTACATAAATATTTATAACTTTTCTATTTATACATTATACCCTTCACGTTTACGTAAGTATTAGGCTGCAAAGATTTCTACTTTTTTTTTTAGTTTACACTTTTAGGCAAATTAACCTATAGTATAGTATTCAAAACTGTTAGGGATATTAACCTATAGTAGAGTATTCAGAATTCTTAAACAAATTAACATATTGTATAGTATATAGAACTGTTAGATAATAAACCTATAGTATAGTATTCAGAACTCTTAGGCAAATATAGTATAAAATTCATATATAGTATAATATTCAGTATAATAATATAGTATAATATATACTAATATTATAGTATAATATTCATAAATATAGTTTAATATTCATAATATGATATAATATAGTATAATAATCACAAATCCACAATAAATGGCTGTACATTTTTAAAAAAGAATTAGGTTAATGAATTAGAAAACATGAAAAATATTCTATTTTGATTAAGAAAATTTTATGATTTCATCTAAATAACTAAATTTCAAGTCTTGATAATACATAATGAATGTGTCTGATATATTGGATTGCATACATATATAAATTATGATAGTGTATATTGGATTGTACATAGTTTTCAAAATAGAAAAAATGTATCATTTTGTAATTTTTTAGTGTTATTTTATATTGAACATTGATGTATATTACAAAATTTGTAACTGAAAAGCAAATTTATAGAAAAAATTCTTAAAAATGGACACAAAACCTAATTACACTGTTCAAATAAAACATGGTTACACAGGATTCCTTCAGCAACTTCCAATTGTGTTTGAGATTTTAAAAAATAATCCTGATAAGATTGTTGATGATACAGCAATAGAAAGATTGTTAAACTGGATGGAAGTGATATCAAGTAATCAGTCATTGGTAGAATGTTGTGTTGATTATCTTACTTGTAATGAGATTTGGCAGCATCCCGTAGCATTTTCTGTTGCATTGAGGCATGTAAGCAATTTTAAAAATTTAATAGATAATCTCTTGTTTGATTTTTTTTTAAATTTATCTTGTTTTATTTATTTTGTTATTTTTTTTTTATCTAATTTTTTTATTATTTGTTTTTCAATTTTCTGTTTTTATCAACTGATTTATTTAGGGATAGGCTCAGTGAATGTCAACTTATTTAGTTATACATTGTTTAACATTGATTAATTTAGCCATAGGCGCAGTGGAGCTGTACATTGTACATTGAATGTACAATGTACATTGAATGGTTTATACACTGAGTATGCATAATTTGTTAATTTAGCCATAGATGTAGCAGAGTGCGCATACACAGACTAAGACATTTGATTTGGAAAGGCAGTTTGTTAATTTGAAAATGAATTTTTTTTAAGTTTTGAAATTTTTTCTGGTCATTTAAAAAAAAAAAAATTTTCAATCTGGGCATAAAGTATACTTATATGGGAAAAATTGAAGTTTGTCAAGTGAGTTTATTTTATATATATACATATATATCAAGTAGGCCTATTTTATATATATATATATATATATATATATATATATATATATATATATATATATATGTGTGTGTGTGTGTGTGTGTATATATATATGTGTGTGTGTATATATATGTGTGTGTGTGTGTGTGTATATATATGTGTGTGTGTGTGTGTGTGTGTGTGTGTGTGTGTGTGTGTGTGTGTGTGTGTGTGTATATATATATATATATATATATATATATATATATATATATATATATACATACACACAAACCCTCGGAATTAGGGTTGGCATTCGGCAATGCCGACCTAGCTGCCAACCTAAACGTGTTTGCGGTCTGCAAAAAAAATTTGACTTAGCCAAATTTTTTTTTGCCGACCTCGTTTGGATGTTTTATGGTAAGACCTTTGTATTTGCCGATCTCTAAAAGATTGAGGTTGGCAAATTATTGCCGACCTCAATTTTCCTAATTCGGAGGATTTATATATACACATGGTACACATAATTTAATATTTCTTCATGAATATATATTTTAATATAATTTAATATTTCTTCATGCAACTATACAATATTTAAACAAAACCTTGTGAAGACTTAATTAAATTTTTTTATTTTTTTATACAATCGAATATATAATTATTTTAGGGTTGGGGGATATATTGGATGTTATGATCTTTCTCAAGAAATAAATGAAATCATTTTGATGTTATTGACACGCTTGCAAACACACAATCTTTTTTCTAATGCCACTGTTCAATTTAGTTTTTTTAAATGCCTTGCCTCGCTTGCCAAAAATAGTTGTTGGTATGAAAGAATAAAAAGTGAGAGTTTTTTGTTTTTATGAAAAATAAATATGATTATCAAAAAAAGTTTTTAATTAATTATTTACTTTAGAATACCTTGACATCTCTCTATGTACATTCAACACTTCTTATCTTTATGTGAAAAAATCAGCTGTCTTGTTTCTTGTTCAATATCTTCAAGATGAAAATCAATGTGTGTATTTTGTCGAATATATGGCAAATGTAATTTTTTTTTTTTTTTGTCATTGTTGTTTTTTTTAGTCAAGTTTCATTTATTACATGTTATTTTTTTCAAGAGATTCAAAAGTATGTGATTTAAAATTTCAAAAGCCTATATAATTCTTTTTTATATTTTAAATAAAGCATCATAACATTCTTCATACTGATTGAGAATTTTATCATTTAATATTATTTTTATTGTTATTTCTTGTGTATTATAGTTTATTTAAAATAGGAAAAATAATTTAGTTCAAATTTTTTTTACTTAGTATTCACTATCAGCTGAACAATTGGTGTATGTTCTAGATACAATTATTAAATTATTTGAAATCAAAAAAATTCATTCTGCCCAAATGTTGTGTTCCAAATTAAATATTATCAAAGCATGCATAGAATTGATACTTACTGAGAAGCATTTTCTTTTACTAGAAGAATTGATTTCCCTGTTTTCATTACTATCAAGGTATGTTGTATAGAAGTAGTTTTATTTTAAAAGTTTTGCATTTTTAATATTAGTGTTTGTGTTAACACTATATTTTATGTATATTTAAAAAAATATAATTATTAGACATTATGATTTTTCCAACAAGCCTTTCTTAATTTTTTGTTTTATTAACAACAAAACATTATGTATTAGTCAAAATGTTATCAATCAAAACATATAATCAAAACATTGTAATATATGTTTATGAAATTAAATTTGCAAAACTAGATTATTAAAATAAAATACAAAAAACAAAAAAAAGTGTTTTCAATATGTAAATTTTATTAATGAATTACTCATACAAGATGCACAACAAATGTGAAAATGAATGATACAAGATGCACAACAAATGTGAAAATAAATGATACAAGATGCACAACAAATGTGAAAATGAATGATACAAGATGCACAACAAATGTGAAAATGAATGATACAAGATGCACAACAAATGTGAAAATGAATGATACAAGATGCACAACAAATGTGAAAATGAATGATACAAAATTCACAACAAATGTGAAAATAAATGATACAAGATGTTTGTTCTAAATACAGATACAATAAAACACAAAAATTCCCAAAGGAATTGCAAAGGCATTTAAGTCTTGTTGTTTGAATGGCTTTACTGTAAATCATTTTCTTGGAGATCATTGGTTTGTCGCTGAAATTAGTGTTATCATAGTTCATTACATTAAAAGGACATTGTCCTTAATCAGGGTGTGCAGGTAGTAGAAAAAAATAAATTGTTCTTCACTTAAAATTGCATGGCTCCTTACAATGTTTTGAACAACTCTCTGTGTAATTAGGTTGCAGTGTTTTTTCAAGAATCTAGGTCTAATGTTGCCTAGGAAGTTGTTGGTTAAAGCCAAGCATTTCTTTTTTGTTTGTCAATCATACTTTTGATGAAGTTTCTTAACTCAGCCAGATCCTTAGCAAATCTGAAATTACCAAGTGTAACAACATTTTAAGCAATGACAAGCTTTTCATCAGCAGGAATAGCAGTTCAATCAGGATTCTTCATATATATGTTCTTACCACATACATAATTTCTAAGAGTTGACCTGGAAACTTTGTAGGTCTTGGTAACCTTTTTAACATTAATACTAGGAGCTATGGCCTTCATTATCTCATTCACTCGCTCTATGGGATAGTTACTGCTTGCATAACTTTCCTTTCGTTTGTATGTCTGTGGCATATTGCAACTGAAAAAGAAAAGAGATCTACTAGACACATGTATAAACCAAATCATTAAATGATTACTTTATCCCAATTATTAAATTGACTTTTTTATCCCACTGTTCTTAATGTAAATGCTTTTAAAGAAAATGAAGCAGGTGAGTATTTGCTCAAGAATATGCTTGTTAACAATGTTAGCAGACATTAAAATCTGGGACACTGCATTTGCAAAAAGTATGTAGAGTGGGACATTTCTTCTTTAAAACTTATTATTCTAATTTTAACTAAGATTGATGACACTAGTATGATATCAAATTTACTTTTGAAACTCTTTAAATTTCTGAAATTTGTTTTTCAAAATTTCAAGTATTTGATTGTCTTTACACCAGTGGAAAAATTTACAAAATCCTGCAAAAAAAAAACTATTTTGCTGATTTTTGGATGTAAAAGTTACTATTGATTTTGTGATGATTATGTTGCTTTTGGGTGATAAAGTGCTGCAGTTGTTAGTCACTCGTGCTTTTTTAAACTTGAATTTATGTTGTTTATTTGAGATGACATCTGTATTTTTATAGTGATGCATGATAAAATTAATTTCTTCCAATTCTTTTACAGCTATTGACAATTTTCTTACATTACCAGGATTCTTACTTTGAATTACAAGAATGTAATTCAAAGTAAGAAACTTAGAAACTTTCTTTGAAATAGAGGCTTCATCTACCTAGCATTCCACCAATACTAAGTGAATGATTATAGGTTATCAATAAAGGTAATGCTATTGGTATATATTGAACACAAATTAAATTTTATTGTAATCATTTGCTTTCAAGCCAGCAAAAAAGTTACTTCAGTTTTGTCATTTTTTGCTCAAATAAATCTTGGCAAATCATTATTAGATAGATCTGCATCTAGATCTAGCAATGGCAATCTCATGTAAGCATAAAATGAGCATGCAGTGTTTGGCTAAGATATGCATCTATTTTAAATGTAAAAAATATGGTCTGTCTCATCAGAAATGAAAAGATCATGAGTATTTTTTGGTTCTTTTTCAATTGACTTTTGAAATGTTAAAAAGGTTGCAAGTTGTTTTAGTAGATTATTTTGAAGTCAGACTTCTGTCTGCCTGTTTCATCAGAAGGTAATAAACAGACTTCTGTCTGTTTATTACCTTCTGATGCTTTAGTAATATTTGCTCAGCTAATATTAATATTTCCCTCAGCTAATGTTGACATTAATGTAATTGATGTGGCTTCATTTAAAACTACTGCAAACTAGCATACTTGAAGAATCTACGACTAGTAATAGTTGCTTAGCAGTTTTAAGTGATGAATGAAGCATTGGCATCCAAGCTACTATTTGGTGGTTGATATATACCACTATTTGGTGGTTGATATTAACCACTATTAAGTAGCCTCCTTGTCTGTAGTGGCCTTCTCGGCCTTGAGGAGGTGAATAACAACAACAACAACAAAAAATATGCACCCAATTAGTATCGATACCAATTATTTGTTCAACTACTCTATTGCTGAGTTGTATGTTGTTATTGTACTTTGATATTAGATAAATTGATAGTCTTTTATGCATAGACAATTACCAGTGTGAAAATTTTCTTTTAAAAACAGCTAGTATCAATGCTGCATTCTCATGAACAAATTTTTTTAGCTACTGCAATGGTATAAAGTTTCACGTTCTTTGCTGCATTTCATATTTGGCCATCAAGCTTTTATAGTTTGTTTTTAAGTGAATTTGCATTTGTTTGCCATACTCTTGAACAAAAACTCACCTGCTTCATTTGCTCTCTAATTATGCAGGAGCAGTTATGTTAATTATGCAGGAGCAGGTTCAAAAATATTGTTAGCTCTAAAATATTCTTGAGCTTGAAAGAGTTATTTTTCTCAGCCCCGAAATGAAGTGTTTTTTGAGGAGGGTAACTTTAATAGATGTGTCAATCAAATATTCAAATATTTAAATATGTTTTATAACTTTAGGAATGGAGCTGATTATTGGAATGGTTTATTCAAAACTGAAAAAAAACTAGAAGATACACTTTTTTCTTTTGTAAAAGCTATAAAACTTAATGACTTCTTGAATCACTATGTTCCAGCTCTCTGCTCAAGTCTTATTCAATGTAATTTTTCATTGTAAGTGATGCCAACAATTTATTAAAACGATTAATTAATAACCATTTGCTTCATACAATTTGATTATTATATGTTTATATATAATCAAATTATTATAGTTATAATTATTATTATATTTACTTTTTAAATTAAACTTGTTATCTTTTTTACATTTACTAGAACCATAGTTATCACATTAGTTTCATACCATTTGATTTACTTTTTAAAAAATGTGAAACTTGTTTGTCTTTTTGATTTACAGCTATTTTCCTGAAACATGGAATAGTACTTTACTCAAAGTAATGTTAGATGACATTTTTCAAGAAAATGATAGTTTCTTATCACCATTTCATGATGATTATAACAAACCACCAATGGCTGGAGCTGCATGGAAAAAATATCTTATTGTTGCGATTGACTTCATGAATGTAATTGAGAGAATGAGTATACCTCTTGTAAGTATCTTGTATCTTTTGTAATTATCTTCACATACTTTGTAAATTTCTTACATTTGTAAATCTTCTTTTAGCCTATATATTAGCCTTCGATGAAACATTATCCATAACATTTCATGTGAGGCTAAATAGCCAAAGATTTTTCTCTCTCTCTCTCTCTCTCTCTATATATATATATATATATATATATATATATATATATATATATATATATATATATATATATATATATATATATATATATATATGGAATATATATATATATATATATATATATATATATATATATATATATATATATATATATATATATATATATATATATGGAATATATATATATATATATATATATATATATATATGGAATATATATATATATATATATATATATATATATATATATATATATATATATATATATATATATATATATATATATATATATATATATATATATGTATGTATAGGGAAGAGCTTATAAAAAGGATGAGATGGAATTTTCTTCAACAATAGAAATCTCCAGAGCAATAATAATGGATTTATTTCTTCAAGCTACCGCATCAATACAGATAAATTTCCTCAGCAAGTTAAAGACTTAATTGCTTTTGAAAATGATTTACTAAACCTTATTAAATCTTTAAATTTTCGTAAAATAAAAAGCTTTTTAGTACAAACTAAGTAAAGATGTCAAAAGAATATGTAAGTCGGACAAAAATTTACACCGAATCGATAAAACATCGAATTTATATCAGTTATCTAAAGACAAATACAATAAACTGCTCACCAACTTAATTACTAAATCCTATGAAAAATCAAAGTTACAGATAAATAGCCTGTTGAATATGGAAGGGAAAGTTATGTTTATGTAAAAAATCATTAGGTTTTTAACAGAATCGAAATTAACACACCATCCAACTTTTTATGGTACTAATAGTTTCATGATGCAATCATTGGCCATCCAACTGCTTTATCACTTTAAAAGATCATAAAGACAATTTTTTAAACAAACCTACTGTCCGTCTTTTAAATCCAGCAAAAAATAAAATCGGAAGAATCAGTAAATTTATTTTATCTAACGTCATTGCTGAGCTGAAAAATATTTCCAGTCTCAATCAATGGGAAAGCACGCAAAACTAATACCTTTTTTAATACCTTTGAACACAAAAAGATTGGTTCAAAGGTATTAAAAACAAACATTTTTATAAATTTTTAGTTTTAAACATTATTGATTTTTATCCTTCTATCAATGAAAATCTTTTGAACAACACAGTTAAATTTGCTGAGAAATATGTAGCCATCAAAGACGAAGATAAACTAATAATTAAACAAGCCCGAAAATCATTGTTGTTTAATAAAGAGGAACCTTGGATTAAAAAGAACAGTGGTTTGTTTGATGTTGCAATGGGTGCATTGGATTCAATATGTATATAACTAAGTTATACATATTGAATCCTATCATCCTCCTAGCATTTTAAAGCAACTTCCTCGTTCTATACAATTACGGTTGTCAGCTAATTCATCTAATGAAAATATTTTTCGAAACTCATTTGTACTCTATTTGTATCAGGATGCATTAAAAAAGTCTGGTTACAAATTCAAACTTAACTATATTTCAAAACCTATCCAACCTCTATCAAAAAATCGTAAAAATGTTTCTACAAAAATTGGTAAACTCTTTTTAAGTTTAATACGCAAAAACTTCCCAGCTGGCCATAATTACCACAAGATTTTTAATAGAAATACTCTAAAGGTGAGTTACAGTTATATGCCAAACATCAAATCAATAGTTAATTCTCATAACCATCGTATAATGAAAAACAAAACATCTGATTCCAATAAACATTGCAATTGTATTATTAAAAGCAAGTGCCCTCTAAATCAAAAATAACATAGTGTATCATGCCATTTTTTACCCATGCACTCCGGACGGAAATGAAAAAGTGTATTTTGGAGTGAGTGAAACCGCATTCAAACTTAGATACGCTAACTAAACAAAATCTTTTAATATCGAAAAATATAAAAACAACACTGAATTATCTAAGGAAGTATGGAGGTTAAAAGTGGAATAAGCTCAACAATTGAATTGAAAATTGTAAAATGTTGTAGATCTTACAATCTTACAGTAAAACGTTGCAATCTTTGTTTATTTGAAAAGTATCTCATAATATCTTACACCAATGACAACTTATTAAGTAAGAGGAATGAATTAGTTTCTAAATGTAGACATAAAAGCAAGTTTCTTCTTTCAAAGTTCGATTCAAGTGATTAGGCAACCGTTTATAGTTTTTTCTTTTTTCTTTCTGTTGTTTGTTGTTATGACAATAGAGCACACTTCATTGTAACTTTATATTTTAACGGTTTTTTTATTTTTTGATTTTGTATCACATGGCCGATGATTGCCTTTAGGCATGAAACTATTAGTACCATAAAAAGTTGTATTTTCTTTGTTTACAAATTTATATATATAATACTCTATTAAATAAATAAATATATCCTATTTGTTTATTATCACTTCTGATAATAAACAAATATTGTATTATCACTTCTGCTACAGCATGGGGCTCACAATGGCTGGTGAACTTTAATTCAGATAAAACTCAATTTTTTTCAGCCAATCATTATCACAATAATTTAGACCTCCTATATTTATGAATGGTAATGTACTCAATGAGTCATCTACCCTTCATCTTCTAGGATTAACTCTTACTTCTGATCTTTCTTGGAAACCTTATATCAAATCCGTTGCAAAATTAGCATCTGCTAAAGTTGCATCTCTTTATCGAGCTCGACTTTTTCTAACTCTGGATTCTCTTTCTCTATAAATCTCAAATCCGTCCTTGTATGGAATACTGTTGCCATATCTGGAGCGGATCTCCTAATGATGCTCTTTCTCTTTTAGACTAGGTGCAAAAACGCATTGTAAACATAGTTGGACCTGCTCTTGCACCCAACCTTCAACCATTATGACATTGTCATAATGTTGCTTCTCTTTCTCTTTTTTACAAATACTATAACATGCACTGCTCTAAAGAGCTAGCGTCTCTTGTGCCTTCTACTAAAGTTCATTCTAGTGTTACTCGTCATTCAATTAAGTCTCCTTTTTCTGTTACTGTTCCTAAGTGCTCCAAAAACTCTTAATCGTCTAGTTTTTTCCCTCGAACATCAGTTCTTTGGAATTTGCTTCCTTCATCTTGCTTTCCTGATTTATATAATTTGCAATCTTTTAAGCCGTCTATCAATTGTTATCTTGCTCTACAATCTTCATCTTTTCTCTTCCAGTAACTTCCAACACTAATTAGTGGTTGCTTGCAGCCTTGTTGGAAGCGAAAATGAAGAATATATATATATATGTATATATATATATATATATATATATATATATATATATATATATATATATATATATATATATATATATATATATATATATTGGCTGTAAAGTTGTCTTTGTTTTATACTTGTTTTAGTTCATGCAACTAAAGCAAGTAAAATAATAAACTGACCAAAAGGAAATGCTCACATAATGTATTGAGTCTAAACATTTTCTCACATTTACTTATTAAGATGGCAAATCTGCTGTAAATTGTTTGAGCAATAGGACAATTTATATTACTGATGTTACAGGATAAGGTCTTGCTAGTGAAACATTCAGTGTTTTACAAGAACAAAAAATTGTTGAAATTCTCATTGATAGTAACCATTTGTCAGGAAAGGAGCAAACTGTAAGACAGCAAAGCTGTCTTATAGTTTGCTCCCTTGGAGCTTGCTTCTTGGAATTGTGAACCATTTATTCAAGAGCCTTTGCAAATTTTGGCCATAAACAAGTGAGTGGTCGGCTTCTCTTTGCATTGTGAATCAGCCTTACCATTGTGGTCATTTTGCCGGAAATGACTGCCACAAGTTGCTGAAAAACATTGACAAACTCCAGGGTCTTGGCAAATTCATTGGGCATTCCAGGCTTTCAGTTTCTTGAAACATTTTGAAAGTTTAATGAGGTTGGATCTGTCTGCTTTGGAAACATCCTTAATTCTAGCTAAAAAGAAAAAATTGATCAATTCAAAGAGTGAAACTGAAAATGGAAAAAGACTGTGTGCACTCAAAGTGCACACAGTCTTTTTCCATGTGCCAAATTTCATCAGCATTTGTGGATAAAGTCTTGGAGTTTTCAGTGAACAAGCAACAGGTTTTACATGCTAATTTAAAGGTACGCTGAGAAAGATACAAGACACACCCAAGCCACCCTGAGTTTGGTCATAATTTGCTCAAGTGTTGTAGTGGTGTAGTGGTAGAGTGCTCGCTTCATAAACGAGAGGTTCCGGGTTCGATCCCCACTACGTCCCTGGTAGTACCGCGCTCAACTCGTTTCTCCGCACAGCGGCCTTGTTCGTCAAGGTTCGTGTTTTGGAGTTATAGATTTGAGAGAGGGTTATAGCCACAAAATAAGTAGCCTCCTCGTCTGTAGTGGCCTTCTCGGCTTTGAGTAGGTGAATTAAAAAAAATAAAAAATAAAAAAAAAAGTTAACACAAATTAAATCTGGTTAAATATCACTAATTAAGTAATATACCAAGTTTCTTTTTAATAAACAAATATATCTAGAGATCACAAATTCAAACTATACAAAAGTTTATAACTTGATGTAAAGTGTGTTCTTGACTACCATTGTAAGTACTTGTAAAGAAGGGCAAAAAGTCAAGTCTTGCTCAAAAACCAAAAAGCCATTAAGAAGTCATTAAAATACCAAAAGAAGAATATTTGAAAAAAAGAAGTATTATGTAGAAAAGCTTTGGAAAATTTTGGACATAAAATTTATATTGTGAGAGAATTTTTTCATAACAGAATTTTTCGAAGTTGATAGAGTTAGTTTTAAAGCTCATGATGTTTTTGACATTAACAAAGTCAGACGGCAAGTTATTTCAAATATTAAAAACCCTGAGGGAGGAAGAATATTTACATCAAGTTTAAACTTTTGTATAATTTGAATTTGTGATCTCAATATATTTGTTTGTTAAAAATAAACTTGGTATATTACTTAATTAGTGAAATTTAACCAGCTTTAATTTGTGAAAACAATTCAGGGCCAGAAGTTTCACAAGCTTTTAATCCAACTTTTTAATATGGACCCAGTGCCAGGTACCTGGACTCAGACCCGGTATTTTCTTCCGGAGACTCTGCATAAACTGGTTCTGTCACATTTCTAATATATACATATATATATATATATATATATATATAAATATATATATATGTATATATATATATATATATATATATATATATATATATATATATATATATATATATATATATATATATATATATATATATATATGTATACACATATATGTTTTTAAACAAGATATAATGATTTTTTAGCAAACTATGGATCACATGTTTGCTACTCTATTAATGGATTGGCAAATATTTTTATTTAAAGTTCTTCAAATTTCGTTAAGTTGTGGTTTAGATGAAAAAATTAGCAATAACTACATTTCACTTATCAATGATAAAAAAATTACAAGGCTGTGCTGTGCCTACATAAAATCAATGAAATTTCAAGGTGATTTTACATATTAATAAATAAATTATAAAGTGTTTGCATTATTACAGAGTTAAAGGGAAATAATATTCATATCAGTTATCTCTTTTTTTTTAATATTTTGTTGTATAATATTTTTTAAATGGATCCATTTGTTGTTGTTGCTGATGTTGTTGTCGTTTTTTTTTTTTTTTTTTTTTTCATATTGTTTTAGTGGTACACATAATGTTAAGGAAATAAATTAGCTTGAATCCATATATGCTGTGTATGAAAATTTGAGAAGTTCACTGAGGGTTCTTTAGTTTTGAATTGATATTGTATTCTCATAAGTTCTGGCTGTTATGTTTTGTTACAGATTAGAAAATTTGTTTTTATAGCAAGGATGACTTAATTTTAATATTAATGTAGATTTGAACATAGTTGTCAATGAAAAGTTAGCTTGTTGCATTGTTATATCCTTACAAAGTCACGCAGAGGTGCCCCAAGTAAGGCTTATTTATTTTTTAGACATTTATGTAAGAATGTATTATTTATTAATATATTAAAATTTTAAATTAATGTTAATTTGAATATTGAATTAAAAGTTTTTAGTTAATGTTATTTAATATGATTTTCAAACAATAGTATTTCTAGATTAGAAAAAATGCCATTAAGTATTAATGAAAATATAAAAAGTATGAATAATTATAATAAAAGAAATATAAACAAATATTTACTTGGCCTTTTAGGTCACCAGTTCTCTACTGGAGTTGCTGTCTCGTTATATTAGTGAAAGTGATACAAATTTTTCATTAATAACTTTAGCTTGTAAAGCTAACAATATTTGTTTGGCAGAAATTTTAAATATGAAGCTTTGGGACATTAGTTGGGAAGTGAAAGATTCGTTACTTGATGTTTTAATCCAAGCGATAAAGGGTGCAGTCAAAGGTAAAGTTATAGTTTTAATACTATATATATATATATATATATATATATATATATATATATATATATATATATATATATATATATATATATATATATATATATATATATATATATATATATATATATATATATATATATATATATATATATATATATATATATATATATAAAAACCTCGGAATTAGGGTCGGCATACGGCAATGCCAAAATAACTGCCCTGCTAAAAGTGTTTGAGGTCGGCCAAAAATTGCCGACCTCGTTTCGATGTTTTATTGTAAGACCTTTGCATCATATTTTTTTTGCCGACCTGATGCTGACCTCTGAAGGATTTAGGTCAGAAAGTTATTGCCGACCTCAATTTTCTTAATTCCGAGGGTTGGATATATATATATATATATATATATATATATATATATATATATATATATATATATATATATATATATATATATATATATATATATATGTTTATGTGTGTATGTAAATAGTTTTAAGCAATTGTTCTATTTATTCTTTATGATTCTATCATTAAAGTATATTTATTTATTGATAGGTTACAAATGTCATCATGAATTTCTGGTCACTAATCTGTTTTGGTGTAAAGTTATGCCTTTAATGAATGACAATGAGAGTTACATTAGGTCCAAAACTATTGAGTTTGTCACTCAAGTTGTGTTATTCGAACCAATGTGGGTTTTGTTTCAAAAAGAAAATTCTCTTCCACTTGTAAGTAAATATAATGGTTTTTACAAAAAAAAATAAACAAAAAGTTTTACATGAAAATCTTTTTAACGTGAGTTTTAGTGTATACGTATATTATATGTACATCCATATATACTGACACTGACGTTAATAAAACGAACGTAAAGTGCCTATATTATATATATGTTTATTCTAGTGTATAACTTAGTTTTCATTATTTTTGAACTTCATTACTTTTTTACAACAACTTGGAGGAAAACATTGAGGTGTAGTATTTAGTAGCTGTTGATGGCGATCACGATGATAGTGATGACTGTTGATGGCGATCACGATGATAGTGATGACTTAAACTATTGCTCAGACTTTTTTTATTTGTTTTTCTTCATGCTTTCCTATCTTATAAAAACCTAGTTTACATATTTGACCTGAATTCAAATAACCATATACTTCTTTCAGATAACTTATTTATTTTTTAGATATTGTCGAAGGTTTTTTGTATTTCTAAACTGATCTTTATCTTTTCAACATTGGTTTTTAGACGTTTTGTGTTCTTTTCATCTTTTCGTGGTTTTTTATCATACTTTTCTTTCTATTTTTCTTCTAATTCTTTTAATTTTAAAAATAATAGGCTGTAGAATCTATTATTTTTAAAATGTTGTTGCTGTTGATAAAGTTGGTAAACTTCGCTAGCGATATCGTTAAAAAGTTAGCGTTAAAAAGTTAGCGTATCGTTAAAAGTAGCGTTATCGTTAAAAGAGCAAATTTCACTAAACAGAATTATCATTTTTATAGCAAAAAAACAAAAGATGACGTAGCTTAAAATATATTTAGAGTTTTTAAATGTTCTATTAATTTAATACATGGTGCACTGAATGTCATGTGACATTCAACAGACACTGAGTGTCTGTTGAAAAAAAATTAAAAAATATATTTTTTGCTCAAAATATATGTAAAGTTCTTTTTAAAAATAAATTAGTTTACCAACATACTTTTTTTGATGTTTTTACCTGATTTTTTTGAGTGAAACTTTACTAGATTTGATTTTTTATATATTTTTACAATTTTATTCATAAAAAAATTATAGTGCGAGATCTTTTTTATTTTTGTTTTTTTTTATTTATCTTAAAATTTATGTGAAAATAATCATGGGCAGAAAATTTCGAAATTTTAAAAAAGTTGAATATTTTTTTTATGATTCGTTTGTATAAAGCTAATCATAATTGGTTTTGTAGTTTTGACCTTTCTTACCTTTTGCCTTCGATTTTAACATTTTGGTTTTTAAAAAATTATATGAGTTAATATGTAAAAAAAGTTAGTATATCTTGAAGTTATAATATCTAATGTGTTTGTTTAGGAAAATTTGTGGAAAAAGCTTGAAGAAGACTTTACTAGTCCGGCTCGTCAAGATGATTTTTTCACACGCCGGAGCGTTTTAGAAATGCTTCTGTGCTGTTCAAATCACTCAAACGCATACAGTGATATATTTACAAATAAACTTAGTGACTCATGTATGAAGTCAGTTAAAGAATCCGTTTTCAGAATTCTTCAAAATTGTGCCAATGATTTGGACTGGGAAGTCAGAAAGCTTAACATTATTCTATGGACATCAGTGATTTCACGTATTGAGAAGAATGCATTTGCAATAAATGATTTTTTAGATTTTGTTATAGAGAACAATTTTATCTTAATAATTTTATTAACATTGTGTGATGTTGAGTATGCTGTTCAAATCGAATCTTTGAAATGTTTAAGGCTGTTACAGAGACCTTTTATTAATGACAAAAAATTTGATCTCAGTGAATCTTTTAATTATAATGTAAAATCATTGGAAGAGTTTGAAACTTATTTAAAAACTATGGATTTGAGTACTAGAAAAAATATTGTAAGCTTCATTAAAAGATTGGATTTAGATTTGTTATTGATGGATGTAAACGTTCTAGATGATACTGTCAAAAGTGATCCCGTGTCATTCCTTGAAGATATCATAAGCTCTGCCAAAGAGAATGACTCAAATTTACTAGATTGCTATTAATTGAATTTGGTTAATATCTTAAAACTATCTTTTTTTTTGAGTACTGCGAGGCTAATTAGCTAAAGGATTTTGAATATTACAAGGCTATTTAGCTAAAGAATTTTGAATACTACGAGGCTATATAGCTAAAGAATTTTGAATACTGCGAGGCTATATAGCTAAAGAATTTTGAATACTATGAAGCTAATTAGCTAAAGCCTTAAAATCAAACAAAAAGTAATAAGAAAGAAAAAAAAACATTCTGCAAAAAGCAAATTTGCTACCAGTCCCAAATGATCTCTAACTATTCCTCAAAGAACTATGGAAGAAAATAATGTTTTCTAGCAAATTACCAAGTTTAAAAAAATTTCATAAATGATTTTTTTTTTAATTGAAATTAATTATAAAGTTATAAAAACTAATAAGCGTACAATTTTCAGTCATTAGAGTATGTGCAATTAGTGAAAAGTTTTATTTCATTTAATCTTTACTGAGCGCTAGTCAACTGCGCATCGCACAATGATCTTAAAATTATGTTTAACTTCATTAACTTAAAATGTAAAAAACGTGATGTAAAAAGTTAGATAACCAAATAAAGTCAAATATGGTCAGAGGGAGAAGAAAAAAATATAATAATACAAGTGCTCCTTGGTAATTTAACTTTTTTAACTTTATTTCTTGATTATTTAAGTTATGTATTATATATTTTTATTTAATACTTGTAATAAGAAGATAGTAAAGTTGGTCCTCGATTGTATGCAATCTTATTATTTGTATCTCTTCTTGAATAGTGAATTTTGAATTGTTTCTTTATCTTTATTATTATTTGAGCTTCTTCCGAATGCAATTCGATTTGCTACAAGAATTTTGAACTTACTTTTATGAACTATGAAGCAATAACTTATGCATAGATACAGGCATAAAAACCGATTATCTTTTTTATAAAGCTTCGCTGTTTTAATGTATTATTCACTGAGTTTTATTTTATCTATCTCATTACTAGAATATACTGTATGCGGCAGCAAAAATTAAACAAAAGTTAGTCGTTGTTCTCAATTATAATTATATCTTAAACAATGTTAGTTTCTAAATGAAATAATAATAAGTTTAAACAACAACAATATAAAACAATATAAAAACAAGAAATGAATAATGTCACTATTTCTACATCCCCTTCCATGTTTTTAAGTGTCAATGAATATAAACATAATTTCTGGGTTCATTTCTTAAAGTCATTTAATGTCAAAGATTTCCCGGTTTCTGGTTGGTAGAATTTTTTGGGGATACGTAGCCTGGATGAACGTTTCAATGGTTGATCTCCTACGATTTCAGTATTTAATAAAGGTGGCATCGCTAGATGCGGCGAGCTTGTTGATAAAGATGCTGGCATCAACGGTAAGGGTACTGGAGTTGTTGGTAAAGGTAGTGGTGGTACTGCTGGTGCTAATGTAGAAGACGGTAGCAATACTGTAGATGGTGCTAGTTCCGGTTGGGATGGTATGACTTTGTTGCTACTTTCTGGGACATACTCTGTAAATGGTGTTGGCAAATCGGCAGAGTTATAGTGACTAGAGCTTGTTCTTGGTGGTGTAGTCAATGCAACTTCGGTTTCGTATGACTTTAGTGGGTTGAGGAATTTGCGCAAATATTTTCTATTTCTTAATGTTAGTCGACCTGTTCCTTCAACCTTAATGATGTATTGGTCATTTTCCTTACATTCAACAACTTTTCCACTACGATCCCATTTTTTAGGGTGGTTCCCTACTTGATTTTGTATGAAGACGCTGTCTCCTTCATGTAGTGGTGTGAGAAAACGTGTGTGTTCTTGAAGTGATTCAAGGGTCTTTGCATATCTTGTTCGTAATGCTTCTTCTTTTGCAGACCATGCATGTCTCCACGTTTTCAAGAATTGGTCGTTATTAAACATAGGTATTCTGGATTTTATCCTGGGCATGGCGTCGTGAATGGGATGGCCAAATAATACTTGAGCGGGAGATAACTGACAAGTAGGGTCTGGTGTGTTTCTTATTGTAAGCATTGCCCTTACAAAAGCGTTATTATTGAGATCACCATTTGGTCCCACATTATTTTCGAGGAGGCGTTTTGTTGACTTAACTGCAAGCTCAGCTCTTCCATTAGATTGTGGGTGGTGGGCTGATGAAATGCGATGAGTTATGCCCCATTGTTGTAGAAATTCTTTTGTTTCTCCAGAGATGAATTGAGGGCCACCGTCGGTTGAAATTTCTTCTGGGACTCCAAATGTTGTAAATAGTTTACGTAAGCATGTGATAAGACCTTTTGCATTCATTTCTGATGTTCCTGATTTTATTCTGTAGGCTTCGGTCCATCCAGAAAGTCTATCTCCAATGACCAGATAATCCCAGCCACGGAATTCAAAATAGTCAGCAAATATGCATTCAAATGGTGTCACAGGGATGTGAGGTCGGATGGGTGGTAGTCGTGCATTAGAAGGTGCATTTCGATTACAGCTGCAACAGTTATCGCGCTTACTTTGTATGCTGTGAGTGATACCTGGCCAGAAAACAGTGGCTTGAGCTCTGGCTGTCATTCCCGATACTCCTTGGTGGGCTGAGTGTAGTACGTCCAATATCTCTTTCCGTAGAGTAGGTGGGATTACAATTCTGTCATTGTATATTATAACCCCGTCGGACACCATCAAGTCATTGCGGTATTCCCAGAACGGTAAAAGATTTGGTATGAAGTTGTTCTTATTTTTTGGGAACCCGTTTTCTATTGCTAACATTAATGCTTTAAAATCGGTATCTTTTTCTGTCTCTGCTTTGACACTATCCCATGTTACTGCAATCATTTTATCTATGTCGTTTCGTATCGAGGCTATTATTAGTGATTCTGTGTTGTCAAAATCAGTATTTTGATTGCAAGTGGCTGAATTATCAGATTCCTTTGTGTTCTCTGCAGGGTAACGAGAAGTAGCATCTGCTGCCAGGTTTGTTTTTCCTGGTTGATGTTGGATGGTAAATTTCCATGGCAAAGTTCTCTGTTTTAGTCGGAAAAGTCGTGTGTTAGCAATTTCATCTAAGGTCCTATCTCCTAATAATTTGACAAGTGGTTTATGATCAGTTACTACCATAAGGTTATCACAACCTTGTGTGAAATATTTAGTCTGCTCCAGGCTCCATGCCACTGCTAGCATTTCGCCCTCAACTGGTGCATATCGTTGTTCAGCAGATGACAGGAATCTGGACCCTGCTAGGGTTATTTTCCATCCGTCTATACAGCAATCTGGGGAGTCCGATTTACATTCACAATGTTTTTGGCTTAGGTAATATCCTATCCCCAATTTTGACCAGTCGCATCTTAAACAGGTCTTCTTGGTGATGTCAAATATTTGGACTCCATCTTTAATTGCATTGATAATTTTTTCCTTTGACACGTTGAATAAAGTGTTGAGTTCGTCCGACCAATAAAATTTTGATTTAGGGCTAAGCAGAACTCTGAATGGGGCCATAGTTTCTCGAAGTTGAGCGTAATGTGATACTTGGGTCACTAAGCCGAACCAAGATCGGATGTCTGTTATTGAGGATGGTGTTGGAAATGATCTAATGGCATCGATATATTTAGGTAGTGGTTCAACTCCATTTTCAGATATTCTGAAACCTGCAAAATCCACTATTCTTTTAGCAAATTGGAATTTTTGTGGGTTCAAAATGATCCCAGCTTTGCCAACAAGCTCAAGAAATTCGATTGTCCGCCACCAATGTTTGACTAGGTCGTCATCGTAGTGGATGGTGTCATCTACACATCTTTGTTTGCCAATAAAGTCTGCTAAAATTTCGTCGAAACGTCTGTTGTAGCCATCCCCACTAGATACAAAACCTTGAGGAGCTCGGATGTATCTGTAGCGCCCAAAAGGAGTAATGAAGGTGGTAAGATTCCTGTCTTCAACCCGTATCGGGATGCTATGATAACCATTCCATGCGTCGGTTACAGTTTTCCATGAATTTCTTGGGACTGAACGAGCTAGTTGGAAAGGCGATTTCATTGCATGAGTTTCTCTGTAGCAGTACTTGTTTAAAGGAGATAGATCAACAGTGCGACGAGGCCCACCGTCATGCTTACGTGTGATAACCATTCTATGACACCATGTTGTAGGTTCTCCTAGAGGTACCTTTTCAATGACTCCAAGAGTTTCATCACGAATTAAATCCTTTTCCACCTGGTCTTGCCAATGAATTGGTATGGTGGCTGGAGTAAATGCTGCAACTGGTTTGGCATTTTCTTGAATTAAAATACTTATTGGAGGTCCCTCCATATCAGGTAAAATCTGGTGTGGACATGTGTTGAATGTTGAAGCAGAGTATCTTTCAAGGAGCCACGCTTTCATCCGTTCGTTGTTTTCAGGACAGCAGACAAATGGAAGTTTGGTGGGTGCACCTGCTGGGAGACTTCTTTTGGGGCAATTGCACACGTGTGAGCTATTATTTTCACTGGATGTTTTGGTCCCTATAGTTATAGGGCCTGAGTTAATAGCTCCGTGGAGGGCACTGCCTATCTCTGGAAAGTCCTTAGAGATGATACCCAGTTGGGTCATTGCTTCTTTAGATAGGTAGAATCCGTTTGCGTCTGGACTTATATAAACCATTACTGCACATTCAACTTTGTGTCCATTAGATTGTCGTCCTTCGAGACGTAAAAGAATTGCACCATCTATACGAAATTGGGTTTTATTTGCGGCCGACATGCTATGTTTCACAGGTATTAAATTGTTTGCATTAAAGCCTGCACTGTCAAACCCTTTCCTAGACCATAAGCAGGACTGTGCACCGGTATCTGTAATAACTTGTATATATTTTGGTATAATAGGAGGAAATGGAATACCAAATGCGACATAGTCTGATTTGTTAGTAGTCACACGCAGCTGAATTGTAGGATGAACAAGCAATTGAGCTGTGGCCCATCCATCATGGGTAAATATGTGATGGTTTATTCCTGTGCATGGTCGTTTCACATTGGTCTTCATTTGTGATCTAATTTTTTTATTTGAATGCTCAATTGCACTTAACTTTAACACAAGTCCGCCTGCCTCAGCATCTTTGGTTGCATTCGATTTCTTATCATTTGGGATGATTCTGTTGTTAATTTTAGAAGTGCGAGATCTGAGCTTCTTCCAACAGTCTAGACACAGCTTGTGGGGTTTTTTGTTCCATCCTCTGGATGTTTCTGTAAATAAACTGTAAGATTCTGAGCAATCTGGACATTTGGCTGTTATATTGGTCCCTTTACTACTCTGTGTATTGCTCTTGTTTTGTTTCCTGAAAGTTGATACACTTGCTGTTGTTGAACTACAGCCTAGTGCATTTCGTGCCATTTCTTTACCCTCTATAAAAGCAATGA